ATTTAGCTCAGCGGCAAAAGTGCTTGCCCGGCAAGTGCAAGGTCGTGAGTTCGGTTCCTGGTACCGGAGAAAAACCAAAAAAAAAAAAAAAAATTAAGAAAAGAAGTGTGAGAGTGGCCCACTGTGAGAGAGAGAACCCGGTGGCCAAATCTAAATGGTAGGCATCTTTTATATCTCCCACTCCTCAGGCTAAGGTCAGGTTTAGGCCTCCTATCAAAAACCTGCCAGAGTTCTCCTGAGAATAATTTAAGATAGGGCTTTCTGATTGGTTCCAGGTGCACAGCTGGGCATATCTCCTGGGTCTCCATGGTTGATAGGTCAGGTCACATCCACTTGCCCAGCTAGTTTGCCACATCCTAATCTCCTGCCTCACTAGCATGTGTGAGGCTCTAGATTCAATCTCCAGTACCAATAATAATAATAATAATAATAATAGTGACATTTGGTGACTAAAAGGACTTAGAGAAGGCTTCAAAGTGACTCTTGGAATTCAGCTATGAACTCCTGGAAATTGTTCAATCCTTCATTATCTAAAGCCCACGTTATGGCCACACATTACTGGGTGTTGGAATAGAAAAACCCATGCGACATAAACCTTACAGCCTAGCAGGGACAGACAGTCATGTGAAGACAAAGGCGTGGTATTTTTATAAGCTTTATGATAGAAGTTTGGGAAAATACAGTGGAAGTCCAGAGAAAAGAATGTAATAAAAATTAACTTGAGAAGGCATCAGAAATGACTGGTAAGAATAGCAAGATCTCATGGAACTAAAGTTGTAGATTTTGGAAACATTCACATTCTAAGATGAAGACAAATGAAATAAAGCAGTATAAAGCTGCTCCACAAGCTGTGATGTTAAAATGTTAGCTACTTTTACATTTTACTGGAACCTTGTAAGTAGATGAGATGTTAGAAAAGAATACAAGCTAGGCATGGTGGCACACACCTGTAATCCCAGTGTGAGAAAGAAAGAAAGAAAGAAAGAAAGAAAGAAAGAAAGAAAGAAAGAAAGAAAGAAAGAAAGAAAGGAAGGAAGGAAGGAAGGAAGGAA